GGTCCTGGTTCGTTGGAGCCAACAGGACAACATCGTCTGCAAACAGCAGAGATGAAATCCTGTGGTCTCCAATCCGGACCCCCTCCGACCCCTGGCTGTGCCTAGAAATTCTGTCCATAAACACAGTGAACAGAACCGGTGACAAAGGGCAGCCCTGTCGGAGGCCAACATTCACCGGGAACAGGTCTGACTTACTGCCGGCAATACGAACACAGCTCTGGCGCCGGTCATACAGGGATCAGATGGCCCTCAGCAGAGGACCTCCGACCCCATACTCCCGGAGAACCCCCCAAAGGACACCCCGGGGAACACAGTCAAACGCCTTCTCCAAATCCACAAAGCACATGTGGACAGGTTGGGCAAACTCCCATGAACCCTCGAGTATCCGGAGAGTATAGAGCTGGTCCAGTGTTCCGCGACCGGGACGAAAACCAAACTGCTCCTCCTGAATCCGAGATTCGACCATCGGCCGTAGCCTCCTCTCCAGTACCTTGGAGTAGACCTTACCGGGGAGGCTGAGGAGTGTGATCCCACGATAATTGGAACACACCCTCCGGTCCCCCTTCTTGTAGAGAGGGACCACCACCCCGGTCTGCCACTCCATTGGCACCCCCCCCGATCGCCACGCGATGTTGCAGAGACGTGTCAGCCAAGACGGTCCCACAACATCCAGAGACTTTAGATAGTCAGGACGGATCTCATCCACACCCGGAGCCTTGCCACCATGGAGGCTGCCAACCACCTTGGTGACCTCAGCCAGGGAGATGGATGTATCCGCCCCAACATCCTCAGCCTCTGCATCTGTAACGGAGGACGTGATGGGGGGATTGAGGAGAACCTCGAAGTATTCCTTCCACTGCCCGACAATATCCCCAGTCGAGGTCAGCAGCTCTCCACCCGCACCGTACATGGTGTTGGCAAAGAACTGCTTCCCCCTCCTGAGGCGCCGGATGGTTTGCCAGAATCTCTTCGAGGCCGACCGATAGTCATGCTCCATGGACTCTCCGAACTCCTCCCAGTCCCGGGTTTTTGCCTCTGCAACAGCCCGGGCCGCGGCACGCTTGGCCTGCCGGTACTGGACAGCTGCCTCAGGAGTCCCCCGAACCATCATGGCTCGATAGGACTCCTTCTTCAGCCTGACAGCATCCCTTACTGCCGGTAAGGGATGCGGGGGTTGCCGCCGGGACCAGCACCAGAGACCTTGCGACCACAGCTACGAGCCGCCACATCGGCGATTGAGGAAGAGAACATGGTCCACTCGGACTCAATGTCCCCCTCCTCCGCCTGAGATGGGGGGCAATGAGAATGGCCACCCCAGCTCACCGTCTCTCCCCGCGGGAAACACCAGAAAAGTGGAGCGTCCAACCCCTCTCAAGGAGTTGGGTTCCAGAGCCCAAGCTATGTGTGGAGGTGAGGCCGACTATCTCTAATCGGTATCGCTCAACCTCCCCCACGAGCTCGGGCTCCTTCCCCCCAGTGAGGTGACGTTCCACGTCCCAAGAGCCAGATGTTGTGTGTGCGGACTGGGTCGCCGAGGTCTCCGCCTTCGACTGCCGCCCAGTCCTCTCAGCACCGCGCCACCACGGACCCCTCTGCAGGTGGTGGGCCCACAGGAGGGACTGCCCACGTCATCCCTTCGGGCTGAGCCAGGCCGGGCCCCGTGGGCTAAGGCCCGGCCACCAGGCGCTCGCATACGAGCCCCAATCCCAGGCCTGGCTCCAGGGTGGGGCCCCCTCTGCGCCATGCCGGGCGACGTCACTGGTGTTTCTATTGTGCTGTATTTACTGCGTATGCTCTTTGAAATTCTACAGCATTGTGCAACAAAAACACAGTCACTTACAGTATTTTCGTAAAACAAACATACAGAATATCATTATAGTAGAACTGTGACAAATGTAAACAATAAAACACACACCTCCTCATGAGTGAAGCTGAAATTCACCTGAGGGAAATTGTTCTCGAAGATATAGGAATGTATGAAATGAGGTTGACAGATTTTGAACTAGTTCAACAACTTTGTATGTGACTAAAGTGATGCAATGAGTTTTAGTTTTATATTAAATGACTATTCAGCTTCATAAGTATGTTTCCTTTTGACTGACAGGACAGAAGCAAATGAAAATGTTATAAAACAGCAGAGAATTGTATAAAAGTAACTGTTACATGTCCAAAAGTATTTGTAATCTGTTCAAAGGAGAAACTGCTGCGATGATGATGTCACACACGACTCAGTGTCATGTAGGTTGAACTAATAGTTTTGAGAACTTTAAGTCTGATGTGAGAAATGTGCGAACTGAGAAAAACTGTATTAGCATGTTTCTTATTTTGTAGCATTTAAAATCAATTAAATCTCACCAACAATTTTTCTTTCCACAAGATTGTAAAGTGGTGATAAAGTGGTTTAGCGACTTCAGTGGTGGGACAGTAATATTTAAGATGCTAGTAACAATTACATGCAGTAGAAAATGTAAAGATTTAATCAAGTAGCATATTTAAATAAATGTAAACATTAAATTACGTTACACGTTTGTTTACTATTAATTAAGTTTATTATCATCATTATTATTTTTTTACTACAGTCAGCATGACACTAGTTTTAACTCATTTTAACTAAGCAGATCCTCCCCCTCTCCCGAAGATGACAAAGTAAAGTGGTTCAGCAACTTCAGCTCAGCCTGTGATAATGGCCTTATTAACATAACAAAGTTGGCCATTCACAGGTGATTTAGTTTGTTAGCTAAAATCCTTGGAGTCATTTGGCACCGTGGTGGGCTTTTTAGGTAGAAGTGCCAAATGGCACCTCCATGGGTTTTCTAGTGTTAAAGCAATTCATGGACTTTATGTCCGCCATCTTGGTTCGCTTCGGCTGCCGTGAGAAGCACATGCACAGGTTTGCATTACATCATAAACAGCTGAGGCAGTGTATCTCGACAAGGCAGTCCAAATCGACGTTACACCGGAGCCGGATCCTGCAGATGGTTTTAAGGGGCAGGATTATCTGTGTGGATCTGGATATTCTCCAAAAATGTATTTTTTTTCTACTATTTTATGTTTGAACGCAGCAGTGTCATTGTCAAAATGATGCATATACAGTACATAGTCACGTAAATTGTGCAGTAAAAAAATGTACGCTGTTAAAATTGTTTTGCGTCACATATGGGTGAGTAGAACTTTCTTATTTTACAACATTTGATGGGCTATATTTATATTTTTACCATTGCACTTCCATGACAGTTTTTTTTTTTTTCTTGAGTAGACTTGCTTTTGAAAGTCACTTGGACTCAACATCTTGGCTGACTGCAACATCCCAAACATTCTGTATACCACATAATGCCTTGTTTTGAATTCCCTTTACTATCTCGACTGCCTTTTAAAGTGCTATCTTTAGGCGGACTTGAGGGCATCTCACTGCATGACAATGATTTTACATGCTGCTTTCCGTACTTGCCCCCTCCAGGGTACAGCCAAGTTGAGTTTTTACTTGTCAAACGTGATGGCACAGACGGGGGGGTAGCAGACTAAGTTCATAGTGAAATAACATGATGCAGTTTGAGGAGTGGAGTTTGTTCCTGAGATCATGTGACGTTTAACTGTTGCCCATGAACGCTGTTTCCACACTTTAATGAAATGAGATTTATTCTGACATTGGTCCATGTTTCTTTGATGGGGCATAGCCACGAGGAAGACCTTTTGTGCAGAACTTAGTAATAGTTAATGATGCACATGCTTCTTGGTCATGCTATTTTACTCATTTAAACACAACCAATCCATTTCATTTGAACAGATTTTTTTTTATCTCAGGCTTAATAGTATGATTCCTACAAAATAATTATTTTCCTCTTATAATTAAATAAGTCTACTACATGGGGATGTCCACATATAGGAAATACACAACTGTTTTGATCCCAACCCTAACTGGTCACAACATGAATTAATGACAAGGTGTTTCACAGCTCAACCGTGAGCTTAAGTCAAAATATTAAGTCATTAAACTCACAGGGTTCAAAGAACTAGAAAAGAGCGCCTCATACTCTGAAAATCATAGTATATTTCCCCCTTCTTTGGTCTAAATGATTGATTGATCTAAAGAGCTCATGTACAAGGATATTTCAGAGGGGCGTATATTCAACATACATTTTATGAAAGATATGAATGATGAAATGTAAGCAATTATTTCACTAAACACAGAACGCAACAGAAGTTTGATAATGTTTTGATAAAGGTTTTATTCATTTCATATAATACTGACACATGTACTCAATAGCGGTTAACAGGCGTTTAAAAACACAGATAAGAAACCAAAAGAGCGTCTGTTGTAGCCCCATTGATTCCGTGGACCATTTTTACACGTTTACATGTTTCAATATACCATAACATCTATGTTGTATTAGTCTAAGGTTACCCCTGAAAACAATTCGTCCCAAAAAAGAGAAAACAAAAACAAAAGATTGATAAACTGTCTCTGCTCTTACTAAAATGGAGGGTGATCAGCCACAACCAAAAAGTAAACTTTTTATGTTATTTTAAATTTGGAAAACAACAAAAAATAGAAATCTAATATATTTTTGACAGCGTGTGTCACATGTGGCACAGTTACATAATCATTGTGTCATTCCGGCAACATGAAAAAGCCATTTTGTGCAACTCTTTATAGCAATAATGGTAAGACTTAAAATGCAAATTCCTTTTACTTCCCATATGGACACACATGAAGGAAAGAGCTTTTGCAGGGAGATCTCTTGCCTTCTTATCAAGTTTTGTTTGGAACATCTTTCAAGTCGACTGTGGGTATTGCGGTTCTTGCTGTGTCTGTGAAGATGGCGAGTAGAGTCCTGTCTCTGTGGCCATATTGTCTTTGATATCCTCAGAAGAATGAAACAATTACTGCATCCATAACGCAGTTTGTTTGAGTGCATTGTATCCTGCTAAGATCGGGTCCATTGTGCTGTGTGTAAGTAACTCCAATGCTGTTCACGGCTTCTGGGTCCAGACCAGTTGGACTATCGGGTCACCTGAAATAGAAGATATAGAAATGGGTCAGTGGCAGACCAGAAATATCTCTTAAAAAATTATGAAGCACTGTGAAAGAACTGAGCATGGCGAAGTGAGTAAAGGTCAGAGTAGAGGAAGCAACTCTCATTTCTAGATTTTCCATAAAAAATGTAGTGCATCACTTTTTGGAAATAGTAAAGAATGGAGTAGGGGTTTATAAGATTTTGTTTTTTCTTCATCCTACTCCTGTTCATTTTTCATGGAATGTATTAACGTTGCATGGATTGTTGTGGTATTTTGTTGCATTACCATGAAACATTTTTGCACAAAAATAAAGACTTAAGACTAAACCAAATATTTGAGTTGGTGAAGTCCATAGTGAATCGTGACAGTGCATTAGGCTCTGTAGTTTCTCTCCTCCCTAGGCTACTCGCCCCAAACAACAATGTTTTTTTCTTTTTTTCTGTTCACACACACTCCTTATCGTACATATTCATCTTCTCTCCTTTCTCCCTATTGCCTATTCACTCCTTGTTGGTTTATATCAACATAATAGGAAGCATTTCTCACCAGCCAACAAGCACAGAGACACAAATGAGTGTACGTCTGCCAATACTCCAACATGCACTAGCCCAAGCTCTCCAAAAGCAGACTTCTCTTTCAAGTCCTCACTGCTATTGCTGCCTTCCACTCTTGGCTGAACCAGACACTCTCTCCTCTGGGTTTTTGTCTTTTGCTGAACCCAGGTGGAAGCACATCGAGTGAACGTGAGCCATCAGTGACAACACACAATGCGACCTTGGGCCCGGACCTGGCACTGGCTTTCTCTCCACATGTAGCTGTACATGGCTTCAGGCCACCTACACTGGGCCTGCGCTCATTGCCTTCAGGCGTCTACCTCTGCACTGATCAAACAGTCTCTCAGCGTTTGTTGTCACGCCAGTGCACTGTACACATCACACCGGCTTCACAGTGGCCTAGCTCACCCTGTCAGGTGCGCACACTCATTATATATGCCTTTAGGTGCTTCTTTTGGTGTCCAATTAGAAAGCGGATTTAGGCAGTTAAGTCTCCATTTACAAAACGCATGAGTGTCATCTCTGCGGGCCCTGTTAGCAGTGCCACAAACACATTTATATTGCTCAGTCTATGAGTTCTAACTGCTTTTGCTGCAGGCTGCTAATTTGGCCACAAGGCAGATGTCCGCTCCACTCCAGCAGTAAGCACACACTTTCTATGGGCAATGCTAGTGGCAAAGTGTCAATTATGGAAAAGCATTAACTGAAACTTGCACCATTTTTTATTCACAAGTATTACATTGTAAATAAATACTTACAATGCACAATAAACAACATGGTGAATGAGATTTTATAGCAAAAGCCGCATTGTAGGCAGGCTACTTGCAAAGCTCGACATATGGGTACACTTCAAACCACGCCATTAAGGTACTTGTTGACTTATTACTGGAAGAGTTCTAGTCATCTAAAATGAGTAGTATTGTTGTGCACAGCTGTATGATGGTTTAGCTCAACTCACTGTATGCACTAGACTTACTGTTATTGCTATATATATAACTAATTAAGTTACAGACATTATGTTAAGATTCATTCATGGGAAATTCAGCTGAAAAAAAACACCTGTATGTATTGCGCATGGCTTTCAGATATAACACCAGTGACATTGGATTATTATCACTAAGGATGTAACAACATTGATATTTTTGTTACATCATCACTGTGGAAGACAACCATGGAAACAACATAAGGTGTCTTGGTTCTCGGCCCACTCCACTTCAGGCTGAGTGGAGTCTGTGTTCAACACTTTGTCACTTCATCTGCCTCTGTACTGTATAAAGCATGTGTCTATGCAAATGTGTGACAGCTTGTGGTTTGGCAGGCAGTGTCTGTGCTCGTCCATATGATGTTATTTGGCATCGATCGGAATGTCTCCTGTCCCCTCCCTCGCTCCTCCCTCTGCCCTCCTCTTTCCCTCCTTCTCTTCTCACGAGCCAAGTCACACAAACGAACAAGCATTTTCAGGGTTGAGCCAAGACATCAATTAATTAAGCAGGACCTGGTTAATACTGTGATGGGAGACCTCTGGGAACACCAGATGCCACAGTGGGGCGGCTGCGGCTGTAAAGTGCTAAACTGTTGTTGTGTCCTTAGGCAAGACACTCCACCCACATTGCCTAGAATGGAACTGGTGTGTGTGTGGGTGTGTGTGTGTGTGTGTGCGTGTGTGTGTGTGCGTGTGTGAATGGCTGGTGGTAGTCGGAGGAGCTGATGCCACTTACTGGTTGCCTCGCTTCTGTCAGTGTGCCCCAAGGCAGCTGTGGTTACAGCAGTAGTTTATCACTACTGCATATGAAGTGAATGAATAATGTCATGTGAAGCGTCTTTGAGTTTCCAAAAATGCATTATTATTATCATTTTTAAATATTAATCCAACCCAATCATTTATTTATATAGCACATTTTATAAAACAATTTTCCAATGTTCTATACAGAGATAAAAGTAACTAATCAAAACTAGAGGCCTGCCAGCTTTGTGTGTATAAATAACACACCAAAAAATTATTTGTGCAGAGACAAAAACTAGAGATGATTTGATCCAGCTTTTATATGCCTGATACCGATCTTGCTTTTAATATGTGCTGATACCCAATATGAAGCTGAGGGGTCTGAAAAAATGCCTCATCAGGATATCAGCTAAACCAATGTCATTAAAAATATTAGCCAAATATAAAATATAGCCAAAAATATTCCCAGTTGTGCATCTCCAAAAAAAACATCAACAATCCGCAAATTATAAATAGTTCATGGGGATATGAAACAGTACAATACAATAAAACAGAGACAGAAAATAATAGATTCTCCCTGGTAGCCATCATTTCTGTCCCTTACAATAGAATGGGTGATATACACACAATGATTTCCAAGATTACATCTAAAAACAATATTTTCTTTCCGTCAAACAGACGAATGTAAAGGTCTCTTCACTCACCTCTCGGACATTTCCTCTCCCATCCATCACTACTGTCTCATTTTACTTGTACCGCTCTTCCGTGTCTCTCATCTCTCCCTTACTCTGACGTCAATTTCAATTTACGAGCAGGTCTTAATGGGACTATAAGAGAGCGCTCGATGCTATTGATCTTAATGCGTGTGCGTCTTGACCTGAGCCTACCACAGCAAGAAGAAAACACCTTCTATTTTACCATCAGACGAGCACATCAGCAGCACATTCCCCGGCAAACGGAGATCATTGATCAAAGAGCTAAATGCAAGCGAGGGCAAATATTTGTGCTCCTTCAAACAGACACAGCGGTTGATAGCGCATCTTCGATTCTTTTTACATTGTCACAGTTCACATTGAGCTTGATAAAACCCAAAGTTTCCAGATCAAATACGAGGAGTATCTTCCTAACGGCAGTCTTTGTGTTGCAGATTACATCAACCTCTTGTCAGATGCATACTCCACGACCACTTTGTCATTCTATATTTGTGTCTCTGTGGCGTCTGTGTGGGCGCACACTCCTCACTCACGGTCTACGCTGAGAGAAGTTTGAGGAGAGTGCTTAATTGGGACAAAACTGGCAACCGCTCAACTGGAATTTAAATTAAAAGGGCCTCCAGAAGTGAAGTAGTTATGTCAGTAATTGGACCACAGAATATTAGGTCACTTGGTTTTGCTCATTTGCATCGATATGAAACTACCTTCTTCATTTCATTTTAAACATTCAACATACAAGTTACTGTAATGACACTGTTCTCAGCCATTTCTATGAAAGGAAGGTCACATTTGTAAAATAACAAGGACTCCCTTGAAAAAGAAGTTCTAAGGCCTGTCCCAATTCTCACCTTGCCCTTAAAAAGCACCCTAGCACTAGATTTAGCACGTGCCCGCGGGGGTTGTAGGGTGTCCCAATACTTAGGGAGAAGAGACAAGGGCCCTCACACCCTTAAAAACCACCCTTGAGCGCAAGTGAGGTCCGGAGCGCACTTGCGAGCGAGTGTGATCCCATGATGCATTACGATAGCTGTTGGTAAAGTAGCTGTCGGCCAAAGCCGCGCCACAAAGAAAGAAAACAACATGAAACACCCGGGTGCAAGTTTGTGCAGAACAGGAGGAAGCTCCGAAGCGTGTGCGAGTCATTCAGAGTTTTTAAAGCGTGTGTTGGTGCCATGTGTGGTGACGTTCCCGAAGCGGCCACAGCGTGTGGCGTTCACTGAGACTTCAGTGACGTGAATCCATGTTATTATTATAGATCCATGATGGAGTTCAGAGCATCGCTTTGACACAGTTTGCTTTGTGATCCGCGGGACCGCGGCTGTACCCGTCTGTGTGGTACGTCTCTGTGCGCGTATGTGTATGCACATGTGTCTGTCTTTGTGTGTTTGTACATGCGTCTGTCTGTGTGTGTACATGTGTGTCTGTGTGCGTGTGTGTGTGTGTGCGTCTGTCTCTATGAGTGCGTGATGTGCAGCAGTTCTGTACCTAATTATAGCAAGTCTTCATATGAAATAGAATTAAAAACGTCTCATTTTAATAAATACTGTGTTTCATAAAGTCAGATCTTATCTGTGGTGAAATCAGACTCATTGATAATGTGTGTGACGTGGAACACGTCTGCTGCGTCATCTGCATATTGTCCCCTAGATCCAGGGGTGTCCCAATTCTTAGGGAGAATATCCTGTGAGTGCACTCCACTATGGGAAGGCACTTTTCTGGTGAGGGCACTCATACCTGGAGGGCCCTCAGAATTGGGATGGGACCTTAAATGGGACTTTCCTGGTTAAATTAAGGTGAAATAATTAAAAAAACAAACAAATATCACTTTAAAATATTCTGCTGTTAACTACAATGAACGGCCCTAAGCCCAGTTGAAAAAGCAGGAGGGTTGGGCGTAAGGCAAGCTACTCAACCCTGTTAAAACACAGCAGCTACAGAAACACCAAAGTGAGAGAAAACAACAACTTGGGAAGAGAAAGCCAAAGATCGAGACGCTTGTCGATCTCTTGTTGGCGGCCTTTGCCCGAGGAGGGGTATAGGTGCAAGTAAGTAGGTAACTACAATATTGATGCAATGACTGCCATATTCCTGAGGAAAGACATCCACATCTTGAAATGCCTCTATGAGCATTTATATTGATATTACTAAAGTTACAAATGTATATTATTTAAATTGATATAATTGTGGCAAGGACTTATGGACTCCACTTAATAAATCAATTCCCAAACTTCACTCTCACCCATCAGAACCTTCCCACACCCACTTAGGGTTAATCATCAATCATTTAGGGCCAAAATAAAGCAGGGCATGAATTAAACAGACGGAGGAGACAAAGAGCCTCAGACAGACAGCCGCCTGTTTGGGTCCAGCTACTGAAGGATCAACTACTTCAAGCACAGTGGGACATTTAAGTTACAGAGGAAAGTTTTACAGAAAAATCTCACAAAAAACATAAAGGAGTAAATGCATGAATATAGCTGTTTTTATAGTAAAAGAAAAACATTATATGTAACTAGCTATGCCTATTTTATTCTCACTCTAATTTGTTTGTCTCCTGAAAAATAAAATAATCAAAAGTTTTGCTTGTACCATTGACAAGTCTTGTTTTTAAGGGCACAACACAATTTACTAACATATTTTAAGCAATTTTTAGCTCCTGTTTTGTCATTTTTAATTATGCAAAGATTAAACCAAAGTAGTATTCTGGGACCAAAAAACATAATTATACTACAATGAAACTTATCTTTTCTTTGTGATAAAACTTAGATCTTTATAATGAAACTGAAAATGTTGTTCATAGCTTCATGTTGAAAGAAAAACTAAATTCTATAGCTGAACATTGGCAGATTTTTTTGTTTAGTAAATAGGAATAGATGCAATAAGCTTTACCTTCTGCCTATTCCATTCCAGACTTACTGTGTAAACTTACTTTTCTATTTTCATGTAATGAATGTTAAAAATGTCTGAATAAATCAAATCTGAATCAAATCAATCTGAAAAACATAATCCATAATTATCATGGTTTCATTTGATTGGATTGGTTGATAATTATTATGAATAACTAATTCATAATAATTGTCACTATTTTGATACTTGAGGCTTGAAGGTTATCAAATCATCGTATGTATCAATGTAAATATGTGTAATAATGTGTTTCTAAGCCATTCTAAGGATGATAATTGCCCATAAAGGAACATGTTTGTGTCAATGACTTCAAAGCAAAACAAAAACTTCAAACCGCATTAATGTGTGTTTTTTTATAATTGTGAGACGAAAAGCAAATGGAAGTAAAACATGAACAGGGGTGGTCTCTTACAGTGCGTCTAAAGCCAAAAGCGTTGCTATACTGTATCACTTGATATTGCACCACATCAGAGAGTTCACACGTTGGCCTGGTTCAGTGATGGAGCTGGCAATGAAGACAGTGTTTCCTTTCCTGGCTCTGCTGGCCTTATTTTCCATTTTTATTCTTGAGAGACTGCTCAATGTTTACTCCAATATGTGAAATGAAAACAAGGAGGCAGGAAGTAGATCACATAGGAGGTTCTAAGCCTGTATGAACGTTCCAAGTCGTATCACAGCGATGAAAGGATAAAAGTTTTGTGAATGGAGCTGACCTTGGTGGTCTTGACTTTGTTGCCCGTGCTGCAGCTCCAGCCTGTGAGGTCAGGGAGAACCTTACACTCTTCTCCCTCGTTACACGGATTCATTTGACACCACCACTTCTGGGCTACAATGGAGGCTGTGGGAACAAGATGAGACCAGATTAGAATGTTGCTGTTATCAAAGACACAGAAAGGACTGAGCCCGATCTATACCAGAAAAATGAACTATTCAGCCGTAAATTGTGAAATTTAAAAAAGTGTTGTGTAATTCAACTTACGTATTCAAATAAATACAATTCAATTTGGATGGTATAGCCCTAATTTACAACAGCAGTCGTCTCAGAGGGCATCGCAACATTGTCGATTCCTCAACAACAGATCAGAAAACACAGGAAAGGCAATAATAACAAACACAAACCCATATGGGCGGATATCCATAAATGCTAATATACTGTATGACGATCAAGCTATTATAATGAATGAGGTTATAATTGGCTCACAGAAAAGAAATACATACATAGATTTTTTTTTTACATTTCTGAAAGTAAATTTTTTTCAGAATGTGCTGTAAGTCATAACACAAATTATAACAAAAACTTGACATATGTCACTTTGCATGTGATGAGTTTATATCCTAAATTAGTTTCACATTATAAGTTTAATCCTAGAAATAAATGTTCTATTCTAATTTTCGTTGTGTTACCTGTATCTATTCATTTTCATGACTTGCATTCCTGGATGAAAAATCGGGGTCTCCAAATTCACGAGCTCGTTTGATGAGTTCCAGGTTCAACACTTTTCACTTAAGCATCAGGAGATAGTTGCATAATACAGGGTTCCACATATATTTCTGTGTAGCTCAGGCTGCAGGCGTCTCAGCGTGAGAGGTGGGGACATTATGAAGTGCGAACATATGGATTGCACTTGGGAGCCGCAGCTACATTCTGAACGCGCCATTAAATACTACCTTAGGCATTTTCATTTCAGCTCTAATGAAACTGCACAAGTGGGCTGTGTAAAGTTGAGTACAGTAAGGTCTTTAAACATATTTTCTGCAGCGCATACGTGTAGAAAGACTTTTATTATCCATTTGAACCATTCACTTTTTTCAATGACTCAAACTTGTGTTGCGTTTGTGCACTCGACAAATGCTTTGCTTTAGTGACTGCGGTTCCTTTCCTTGTTGTTCATGTTCAGTCTATTGTTACCTCAGTTTTGGAATGAAGTCATTGTAAAACCTGACAGAGAATAGCTTTAGCAAGTGCAAAATACCTCTTTGTGCAATATACAGTAGGGCTGGGATAAACGATTAATCTAGAGATTATTATTTTGATGCATCGATTAATCTAACGATTAATTTTTTTCAGTTCGATTCGATTATCTCCCCATTAATTAACTAATATCAATGTATACATGTTGATTTACATATCTGAATGAAAAAAACATGAATTCCTTAACAAAATATATTTATTGCTCTTAAAATTCAAAGAAAGACATTCTTAGTCAGAGGTAGCATAAAACCTTCAAGCCTTGAAAACACATCTATCTTACTGAAAAAAAATGCATCTTATAATTCTTCTTTCAGATGAAAATAACACTTGATGTTTGACATTCAATAAAATAAACAGAGTTTTTGCTAGAAAAGCACTCTAATGAAAATAAACATTCAACAGTTATGTTGAACATAGGTCTAGCTTACTGAAAAAATCATCTTCAGTCACAAATAATAAATAACAACTTAGACTCGGACACTTTCCTTTCCCCTTAAGGATACTGTCTGTCTTTAATGATAAAATAAACCTTCTCTGGAAGGTCTGGACACAGAGACGCTGCAGAGCTGCCTTTGGGAGAAGAACTTTACACAAAAAGCGGCTAGCATAACTCCACTAGCTCTATTACCTTAAATCCGCTAGCTTAACTTTGTTAGCCCAGGACTTCTGGTCTGAACACCCCTGGCCTCTGTAATTTAGAGAATGTGCGTCTACTGTGCGTGGAAACTGCGTTCCAGCGGCGGTCTGAACGCCCCAGACGGCACTCGTGTACTTCTGCTACTACTCGCTGCCATCTTTGTTTTGAGTATGACAAATTGACGTGCATATTTTATATCGACGCATTTTTTGTGTCAACGTCATCGATTATGTTGATGCTTTGTCCCAGCCCTAACAATAACACATGGGTCTTCAATTCTCTGGGGCAAGTAACGACGCTTTAGGTCAGGGATTGGTGTTTTACATTCCAATCAATATCTATTACTTGCCCACATTTTCAACTAAAGCCGTATTTAAAAGACAGTCCTAGTCCATCTACATTCTTCAAGTGAGTTCGACCCGCCCATTTTCATCTCCACTGCTTCCTGATTGGACAAAGACTTGGCCCAACAAAGCCTGGCCTTAGCCATCCGTTTGCGCCGAACGGGCTGGTTGTAGTTTGGTAATGGCGAAGAATGCAATAGTAAAGTAATCCGGTCTGGATCCATCAAGAAATTGAATCCTGAGTAAGAGGAATGTTTAGCAAATGTCATTGCTGGGAAAGATTGTTGCGCTTCTCCCCACGGGCTCCGTTAGCGGCAAAGGAGATGGCTAGGCTAAATGCTTAATGCTAACGACTCACAACGGGGTCACGGTAAACTCAGATCCAATCGATTCAATCTGCAAAAGGAGTTAACCCCCCCCACCTGTTAACGGAGCTCAATGGAGCACCTCCAGACCTTAGTATGAAATGTAATTTGTACTATGGTGTGGTACGACCAGGCTAGGGCCAACATTATGTTATAAAGGAAATAGAAACTGTCTTTTAACTATTTCAAGGAGAATGCAACAAATGGCAAATATATTGTTCCAGCCAATAGTTTATTGTGACAGGCCTAATTGGCGCCTCATAAGCGCTATATGGATAAAGAATACTTTCTCACTGTTGTGTTATAGTAGATTGTGAATAAAATCAAGCAACCCTCTGTAACGTTATTTTAGCCTCTTTTTATTTCCCTGAAGCACTGCACTCTTCCAGACCGCCCTAAAAACATCATGTTAAATCCATCACAAAATTCACAAATGTTTTCTATCTATTCATTTAATATTTTCAGCTTTAGCAGCTCGCAAGAACATTTCTAGCTTCAAATTTTAAACAGAATTCATAAGCGTGGCCTTGTTAAAGCTTTTGGCTCCGGAGTCCGCTCAAGTATAATGTGAGTTTTAGGAGCACTCCAGAGAGAATACTCTCTAATTGGGATTTCACTACATCACCTGCATTAACAATACAGTAACCTCAAGTTCTTAATGGCCACAATACATAATACTTTAAACTAATCTGTTTTAACCATGGCATTGCTTTATTTAACTGCTGTAGCCCTATTTATGCAGATGCTTAAACCCCCGCATGTTTACTTTGAAAC